TGTACTCACTTCATGCACGATAAGAAAACATATCTTTCTGACCCTCAACACGTTCAATATACTCTTTTTCCAGCAAGTCGTCAATGCATTTTTTAATATCAGATATTTTAAGTCTGAAACGATCCGACAATAGTGCAATCACTTCGCGCACCAAGGCAACATGCTTCAAAGTTTTCCTAATCTTCATAATACGATGAATAGCGGCCTATATATATAAAATAAGCAATTGAAATTTTTTATGAATAATGATGATATTCGACTAATTTTGAATTTACGAACCTTGATTAATAATTTTCTGTCTTCCTCCACAATTTTGTTAGTTTTTTCTGCTTCTATTTGTTGCACAGATTTCACCGGAAGATTTAATTGAATACAAACTTTCTTGCTAGTATTTAATTTCTTTTTTAAATTTTATCTCATTAAATTTTCTAGTTAAATAGGTTATTTAAACAAATAACAAACCTTTCAAAGTCCATATATAATTCATAACAAGATAAAGGATCACCAACTTCAGAACCATTAGAAAGCTTGAGCACTTTAGCTTCGACAAGAAGTTTTAAATTGCCTGTCAAGACATAATAATCTAATTCTGTTTTCTGCATTAATTCTTCAAAGGTATATGATGTATTTTTGTTATATTGCAAAAGAATACGCATTTGATATGTAGATACCTATAATGCTACGGATATTTTTTTTATGTTAAAAAATAATGTATATCGTTATTAAAAGAATCAACTAATTATAAATTCTTTAATTACAGACCTGGAAAGTGTAACCTGTATTAGAGTTTTTACAATAATTAGCTTTCAATTCACCTTTTGAAAGATGGAACAGCCAATCAAGTTTACAGCTAGAGTGCTTGCTTTTATAAAATGCATTGAAATCTTTAAAAATTTCTTCAAGCTAATAAAATTTCAAAAAGAGTATTAAAATAAGTATGTAAAATAAAAGGTTGCAGTATACCATAATTATTATTATATTTACTTCTTCTGGTATAGTAAAGCTTGTTTTTGATGGCTGAAGTGGCCAATTTGCAGAACTCAAAATGAGAAAAGAAAAGTCAACTAAAGCATATAAAATATATAAAATAAGTATGCTAAAATCAAAAAAAAAAGAATTCTATTATACTTTTAATAATATACAGCAAATACCTTGCTCATTAATTCTCGTAGAGCAGTAATTTTTGAACTGATCATCAAGATCTTTACTTAATCCTATGTCATTAAACATTTGTTGTAATTTTGAAGTATATATAAAACCGCATTCCTCCTGTAAAGAAAAGCAACAATATTTATTAAATCTAGAATATAAATATATATGTTATTGTAGCTAACCTTTAGTTTAGTAATCAAATTTTGTTCTGCTTCATCTGATTGTGATTTTCTATTTACTAAACGTTTTGCTAACATCAGTGAATAGAATTTTAGAAAAAACATCCTTGTCTTCTACATATTTGAATATAGTCATCTAAAAAGTTTTTTAGTGGTAAAATACATAAGTTTAAAATCTTTAATATTCAATAAATGAATACTACTTACAACACCTTCTACAGCGTCTTCAAAGTCACTTCCCTCAGGAGACTTTGAAGACTTTCTAAGTAAAAAATCACAAAACCGGGCCAATAATTCTGCAGATTTAGAACTTGAGGCACGAGTAACATGATTATAATTGACAATTTTTGCGCACACCTGATGATATAATGACAATATTATTTTTTACTAAGAAATTGATAATGATACTAATAATAAAATTAAAGCTGTATATAATTTATATAATATAAACCAATATTTGACATACTTTATCTATTGAAATAATAGAACCAACGTCATCTTTGGAAGTAGTAAACATATTAACATACATCTTATGCACACTGAGCAAGGCATTAATATAGACTCTGGGCTCCTATAAATAATAATATTAATTAATTTATCAACAGTTTAAATATCAATTGAAAAATAATATGGAGCATACTATCTCTGTATTATTACTGTTGGGAATTAAATCCTTAAAAAATTCAAGACCTGTCTCGC